AGGGATCTGTTTGTTGTTGTTTTCCCGTATGCAGTCATCGGCGACCGCGCCAATATCATCAACTCCGCCACACTTAAGAACTCTGCTTTAATCGCAACTCTGTCGAATCTAGTATGGGTCTCTGCGCAAAGTCTTTAGCTTTCTTTATAAGTCTCGCGGCTTATTTTCCAGCACGCGAGTCTGCGTAAGTCTACGGTCTCTGTGTAAATCCTGTGGGTATCAATGCGAGTCTCTGGTTCTCAATGTGAGAGCCTATGGGCTGAGATCATCATCCACTCGTTGCACTTGAGAATCCGGTTTAACCGCGCACGGATTCGAACCCAGGATACTCGCGGTGCCAACTCGGCCGCCGTGACCTCTGAGCCTCATTGTTTAAATCCTGCGTTTAGGAAGTGTCTAATTTAAACCTTTTTTGGACAATGACAAAGGAACCCAAAGGAGTGTTTGTCAACAGAGAGCACGAGGAACTTTGTCTCATCCAGCTTGAGGCAGGGCACATCCCTGTACGCTGACCCCCCCCCCCGCCCGGAGCGCAGAAGTACAGTGCAACAATTCATTTGAGATGCACTCAAGGGACGAAGTAGGGGGGGGGCTGCACTTTCCCACACACCCTGCTGCTACGGGGGATAACACTCGTCGCGAGACGGCCAAACTGGTATTTTTTCATTCTCAACAGAGCTGCAATTGATCAAAGTGAAGCGCAGAGCCGCACTTAGCGTGCCGGAATTTTTTGGTGCAGCCATTGATAAACGGGCTGGGACGTTCGGCCTTCTGCACGCGAGAGTGCGGTTCGACCACGGGCAGCGGCGGAGACCTGGACTCGGAACACGGGCGCTCGGCGGCGGCGGCGGCGGCAGCTCGGCGTCTCTGACCCCCTTGGCCACCTCTGAGCGAGGTTTTGCGACGCTCGCCCGTCGGGCCGAAGGCGTCAAAGTCGAGGTCGGAGGGGCTCACTGGAATTTCTCCTCCAAGCGGTAAACTTTGGACCCAGAGGTTTGCGGGTTTACGTGTCTGAATAGCAGCAACGCTGCAAGATACCGTGGTTATAGTTAAATATTTACAGCCGCCCGAGATGACTCTTCGCCTTGCGTAGCTTTCCAACTTGGATTGAAATCGATAGTGCACTCTAGCTGTGTCCGTCTCTCTGAAGTGGGTGGGGAGAAGTGGTGGCACGGTGACCCTAATAGGGATGATCAAATGTAAGTTAAACGTTCGTGTTGAGCTGTACGGATGTATGCTGCACCACTTTCACCCCTTGCGTAGCCAACCGTGCTAACCGGAGGTGCGGCAGAAGGACGACAAACTGAACACTAAAAAAAAAATGCAGTTCTCAAGAAATTGGCTGCGTTGGCATTAGGACCTCAGCCCAGAGAAAACCGGCTGACGTTGATCGTGGACTCGAGAGCACAAAAAAAAAACATGGGGGGTGGCGTGCAATTTCCACCTCCCTCACCCCGCTCCTGATGACTGAGTCTCGCGCGGGCGTGAGATGTTTAGCGCTGGGTCACCGCTCCTCCCGTCGTCGTTGGCACGTTGGTTTTCAATCGCCGAGTCGGCCCTGCCTAAAGCCTTGCAGCTCACGGGAAACGCTGGGGGGTGGTGGTGGTGGTGGGGGGGGAGAGTCAATGGCGGGCGCTTGGAAAATGTGAGCCGGCCCTGCTTTTACTGTCCATGCAATAAAGGCGCTGAAATTAAACCCCGTTAATGTTTAACCGGCGAGCGACGTTGCCATAGGCGGCGGCGTTAATCGCCGTGTTTTGTCAACACCCGAATATAATTTGCGCTCCGAAAATTGTACAGCCAGTAGCAAGTGGTGTCAATTGAACGCAACTCAAAATGCCCTTTTGAAAATTGTGTTTTACTAATTAATTTTTTTTAGGCAATCTTATCCCGTTTGTGCTGTCCGTGTCGTGTCACGGGACGAACGATTCACGAGGACGTCTCGTGGAGAGTGCCTGCAGCCCCCTCCGCGTTATAGGGGAAATGGCCCCGAAGAAGCGGATATCGCAGAATTACTTCTGAGATCCCTTTTGGAGTGACATCTGATCTGGGGCGCCGCGGTTGCGAGATGTTAACTCCCTCGCCTCGTATGCAGGAGCTCATGGGTTCCATACCAACCCCCGACGCCTGTATATTTGGAGTTTGCCCTTTCTCGCTCTCCTCGTGGTCGTGTGGATTTTTCTCTGGGTCCTCCGTTTTTTCCCCCCACATTTGGAAACATGTGTTTTAGAGTAGTTGGCTGCTATACATTTCAACATGATGATAAGCTATCATTTGTGGCTAGGTCGCTTTTGAAAAAAAGCTATAAAGCTCAGTGGAGCTTACCTGCTATAATAAATTTGTAATGGTTTAAGATCTACACAGTAATAGGGTTCAATCCCCACCCATAGGCCATACACCTCTCCCTTTAAGGCCGCAGTGATGTTCACTAATGTGTTTATTTTTTTTATTCATGTTATTTGTGCTTGTGCACCGATGCCAGTACAGTATCACCAAATTTCATTTGTTTCACACCCACAGTAATATTTGCCACGTGACAGCCAAACTCATATATTTCGTTCTTAGAGCTGGAATTGATCAAAATTAAATGCCGGACAAAAGTAATGTGATGGGTGTTCTTCCGTGCAGTCGTTGGCGACTGGGGCTGAGGCCATCTACTTACTGCACTGGAGAACCGTCATTTGATCGCGACTCGGTCTATCTTTGGGTCTCTGTGCGGGTCTGTGGGTCCCTGTGCGAGCCTTTGGCCTCTACCCCAGTCGGGCCGTCTCTACGCGGGCGTGCAAAGTCTTGCGTGTAAGCGAGTGGTGGCCGGGCCGAGACCTCTCAACCCCGCTACACCTGAGAAACCAGCTTCAGTCGCGGCTGGGCGGCTTGTAAACCCGGAGTCAAACCCGGACTCGGCAGCCCCTGACCTCGGGAGCCGTACGGCCACCTCGACGCCCTCGTGTTAACGCTGGCGCCGCGCGTGCCAGAAGAGCCGCCGTGTGGTATTGACCGAAGGCAACTCGAGAGCACTTGAACCTCTCCCCCCTCCCCACCCACGGGGCTGACACTCGAGCGTCGGAGGCGTTGTCGCCTAACGCGCTCTCCGCTTGCCAGCGAGTGAAACGTCCGAGCAAAATAAATTTGCTCCTCGAAAGGAACGTGGAAGGCGGCGGTTCGCTCGCCTCCCGTAAATACAGCCCAAAGTGGTGGAGGTTCCACGTTTTTTTAATGGTCTGGGCGAGTCTGTCCGCGAGGACAAACCGCCGTTGGCTTCCGCATCAAAAAAGCAGCGCTCGTTTTTTGTTTGTTTTATCAGCCCACGGAGTGCTGATGGGCCTAGCGAACCACCACAACCAGGGTGCGAACTCGGAAACCTTCCGACCGCGCTCGCTGTCTTCGGCCGAGCGACAAACACTTGACTCATCGATTGGCGCTCTGGTTCAAGTGCTGGTGACGCATAGGGCTGTTGAGATGGGGTTGGGGGTGGTGGCGGGTTTGTGGAGGGGGCGGGGGTAGGGGCTATTGGGGCAGTTATCATGGGCCACAGATATTGCAGAGGGGGGGGGGGGGGGGCTCTCGGTTAGGAGGCCTAATCTGGCACCTTGCCCCGGGCGTCCAAAAGCCTCTTGGCAGCCCTGGTGATGTCACGCGCGCGCGCGACCCCGCAGGTGCATGTTGCTGGGCGCACGGCCTCTGACCCTCCCTCGCAGCCGACTGCCACGGCGGCAAGCTGTCTGCTTAGGGTACCAAGGAAACCGTGGAACCTGCTCAACGGCTGCTGCTGAACTGCTGCTGCTGATCTGCTGCTGCTGATCTGCTGCTGCTGATCTGCTGCTGCTGATCTGCTGCTGCTGATCTGCTGCTGCTGATCTGCTGCTGCTGATCTGCTGCTGCTGATCTGCTGCTGCTGATCTGCTGCTGCTGATCTGCTGCTGCTGATCTGCTGCTGCTGATCTGCTGCTGTTGATCTGCTGCTGCTGATCTGCTTCTGCTGAACTTCTGCTGCTGATCTGCTGCTGCTGCTGCTTATCTGCTTATGCTGCTGAGCTGCTGCTGTTGATCTGCTGTTGTTGATCTGCTGCTGCTGCTTATCTGCTTATGCTGCTGAGCATCTGCTTATGCTGCTGAGCTGCTGCTGTTGAGCTGCTGCTGCTGCTGATCTGCTGATCTGCTGATCTGCTGCTGCTGATCTGCTTCTGCTGCTGAACTTCTGCTGTTGATCTGCTGCTGCTGATCTGTTGCTGACCTGCTGCTGACCTGCTGCTGCTACGGCGGCGTTTCCACAGCTGTTAGAATCGAGATCCAAGCTGTGCAGCGCTGTTCTCGGTACGGCCCCGGCAAGGATTTGTTTCTCTCCGCAGCGCTTTGTCTGTAAGCTTCCTGCGGACTCGAACCCTCCCCCCCCCCGTCTCCTCTGCCTGCCTCCACCGCTGGAGGGAAAGTTATTGCATTGTATCTATTTATTTATAGCAGATCTAACAAATGCTTCAGTTAGATGATGCGATCCCGAGCAAGAGGATGATGATGGCCGTATGCCAAAGGAGAAAGCACGCTCGAGTGCACATCCAGCGAGGTGACGGAGCTATGGTGGCGCCGCACGGCACTAGTCCAGCACTGTGGAGGCCGCGATGGTTGGCGGATCGCGCAAATGTCGTGAAACTCCCTGCCCGTGGCCATGCAGGTGCCATACCCTGGCTCGCCAGGTGGAGGCGGTACAGCAACGTGCAGGCATTACCATCTGTTACATTTGTGTGGGCTAGGGTGTCGCTGCCCTCGCACGCGTGGGTTTTAAATGAGGATCCGGTACAAGGCGCTTAAAACACATCGGCGTTGGGGAGATTAAAACGGCCCGGCGCCGTGCTGGCCGCCCACCCCCTGGTGCGCCGCGCCGGCCTTCATAGCCGCTTCGCCCGCGGCACTCGCCCCGGCGGTCCGTTAAAGGCTACGCGGGGAGCGACCTTTTACCCTCGTCGCTGTCTCTGTGCCGCTGCCCGGATGCCCGCTGCGTGCAGGTACGGCATCAGCCCGGAGAACGTGATCCTGTACGGGCAGAGCATCGGCACGGTGCCCACGGTGGACCTGGCGTCGCGCTACGAGTGCGCCGCCGTTGTGCTGCACTCGCCGCTCATGTCGGGCATGCGCGTCGCCTTCCCCGACACCAAGAAGACGCACTGCTTCGACGTATTCCCCAGGTGCCCGCTCGATCTGTCCCTCACTCACACCTCTCCAGTCTCTCGCTCGCTCGCTCGCTCGCCCATTCTCTCTAGCTCACTCGCTCGCTCACCCACTTACTCGCCCTCCCACCTGTCCAGCCTCTCGCTCGCTCGCCCATTCTGTCGCTCGCCCATTCTCTCGCCCGCCCGCCCGCCCGCCCACCAGCCCACGGGACAGTACCCAACGGTCCCTGGTTCCTTGCGATCGTAATGAATCCTCACTCGAGACCGCACAACAGAAATCGGACCGACCCGCAATGAGCGACAGACAAGCGAAGCTCATTGCGCGCCGCCGACTCTTTTAACCTTTGTCCCCTGTCACCCTCCGTCTACCCCACACCTCCCCGGGTGACCCCTGGCAGCATTGACAAGATGTCGAAGGTGACGTCGCCGGTGCTGGTGATCCACGGCACGGAGGACGAGGTGATCGACTTCTCGCACGGCCTGGCCATGTACGAGCGCTGCCAGCGTCCCGTCGAGCCGCTCTGGGTGGAGGGCGCCGGCCACAACGACGTGGAGCTCTACGGACAGTACCTGGAGCGCCTGCGGTACTTCGTGTCCAGCGAGATCACCGGCGCCTAGCCGCTCCCCGCCTGCCGCCGGAGCCGCGGGCCCTGATGCCAGTTGGCGGTTGGAAGAGCGCCGGCTGGCAGCGAGAGACGGATGCGGTTTTTTTTTTCGTTTTATTTCTTTCCCCCTTTCCCTTCCCCCCTCCCCGCTGGTGCATCCGATCTCCTCTCTCTGGGGCTCATTCTGAGCCAGCACGGCGAAAGCCGAGCCGCGCCACTGAGATAATAAGACCAGATGAACGAAAGGCGCGTGTAGATGACGCGGTGACGCTGCGTCCGCATGGTGTCACCGAACTGACGTCGCACGCGGCGGAAGCATCGTCGGCTCTCCCCCCCCTCCCCCCCCCCCCGGCCCTGCTGGGCCCCGAGCTAGATTCGCACGTCTTGTCGCGAGGCCAGCGGCGTGGCACGGTTTTGATTCTGGCTCGGCTTGGCCAAAAGGCGGTCAGAAAACATTTCCATACTGTGAGAGGCCCACCCTGGCGCGGCTTTGATTTGGCAATGGAAAAAAGGGGTCACGGAGAGATAGAGCGAGAGACGGAAGGGATGAAACTACTTTGAGTAATTTGTTTTCTGTAGTCAGACCCAGGCTCTTCGGTTTTATTAGCACCGTTTATTATTATTACTGTCATAATACCTGTGGAATGACTGGCCTCGGCAATGGTAACGTGGAATGTCCACGTAAACGAGCGCTGCCCCGTGCCCGTTTGAGTGGGGAGACCATTGCACTCATCGGCCGTTATCAAGTACTGCATCTGTGAATATATATTTTTCGAAGCGTGGGCGTTACGTTATCGTTCCGTGTGGTCATCAACGCACAGTTGCTCCAGGGGGGACGGGGGGGGGGGGGTCGACTCGGCCAGTTGTCTTCTTGCGCCGTTTGATAACACTGTCATCCTGTGCAGCCACCGGCCCTCGGCATAGGAATGTAGAATTTCCACCGCACAAAACTGGTTTTGAGCAGAACGTCGATTCGACTCTCTCTCTCTCTCTCTCTTGGCGGACAGGCGGGCGGGCAAGCGAGGCCTGGGGTTTTGGCACCGCGAGACTGCGTGTGTGCCCCTGCGCCCGCTGCGCCCGCCCCTCCGCCCCTTGTGTGCGTGCGTGGATTCTGCGGCGAGCTTCGATGGCGTCTTGGGCTTCGGCAGAGACGCCGCCGCTCGGCGTCGAGCGGCGGCGTTCATCGTTTAGATTCCTCGACGCGCAACGACGACGACGACAACAACAACAACAATGGGGTGGCGAGGGCAATAAAATCCCCGGTTTAATCGATGGCCGTAGTAACTAACCGTTTCCAATTGCCCTCCACCCCCACCCGGACCCCTCTCCACCCACCTGATCGCGAGAAACGAAACCGCGCGTGCGTGCTTGCCTTGCGCGGGACCGGGGGCCATTAGAATTTAACAAGCCGTCGTGACTTGTCAATACGGTTCGTTGGGAACGGGTAAACGCGTCCTTTTGTCACCGTCGGGATTCAAACGGTGAGGCACAGCCGACGACGAGTGCCAGCAGAGCATCCCCTTGCCGGCTGACGACACTAACACGGGTGTTCTTGAATAGTCTCGTGCGGACGCAAACGTATATATTTTGTGTGTGTGTGTAGGTGGAGATTTGAGTCTTGTGGCTGTTTTTGAAGCTTTGCTTTGTAAGATGAGGCTGCGTTGCTGGATTATTTACGAGACGGGACACGTGAGCTCGCAATGGGGGACTGAGCGTTGGCTCTCGGTTTGGGGTGGACAGACCGCGTGTGTGGTGATGCTGTTGTACATTTTTGTAGCGATGGCCCCCATAAGGATGGTGGGGGGGGGGGGGGTGTTGGTGACAACAGGGTGATGTACGCATGGCTGGAAGGATGATGGTAATTTTGAAATTATTTGTTGTGTGTTTGTTTGAATTTGATTCTGGTGTGCGTGGTGCTGTTTTTGATTTTCACACCCACTGTGTATTTGCACGGACAACACAAACCCAACAACAATAACAGCAGCAGCCGCCACCCGCCACCAAGTGGCGGTGACGTCACCACAGCACACGTGCGCTCACACACACAGATGTGCTTGCATGCAACAGGCTTGGCTTTTGTCTTGCATGTGACGTAACAATCACGTGCAACGAGACGATTGAGACGACGCGGATTTTGAGGGTTTTTTTTTTTTTACAGCGTTGGAATTCCAAAGATATATTTTTTTTGTTTGTTTTAGAAGCCGATCGAGAGCGACCTCTCGGCCGCAATATGACGGCGGCGCGTTGGCGTGGCCCGCCGCTCGCGCAGCTTTCGCCGCTCGTTTGTGCTGGGAGATTTGCGGTTTCGAGCCGCGCAGCCGCGCTTCCCCGGTTAAAACCGCGTCGAAAAACACTCGGCGCCGTTTGCTCCGCAGCAGACCACACACAGGGCACCCCCCACCCACCCCCCAACCCGTTGCGGCGTTCGAAAAAGCCTCGTCCATTGCGCGTGCCGGCGTCTCGCACTCCAAATAATTTGGCAATTTAACTCGCTTTGGCAAACAAAATGAGCGGCGACGTCGCCGCCGACTGTGAAACTTAGCAGGACGCCTCCGGAACGGGACTCGGCGTGTGGATTTCCTGCGCGGATACTTTGCGGGTCAATCAAGTGCGAATGTAATTGCGTGTGGATTTCTGGGGGGGGGGGGGCGCGAATGTTTTTTTGGGGCTAACGTGTTCCCTGGGCGCCCACGGCATTCCGTTTGCGGAGTGCCCGCGAACTTTTAAGAGGGCGTTTTCGGACACTGCTCAAATCGCCTGAATGATACTTCTACGTCATTTTTAGTCAATTGACAAAACGCGTGGTGCTATGTCTGCATCAGCATTACTTGGAGCGAACGGTTTTTTAATAATGAGCAGCACCAACGTTTCTTAAACACACCTGGGGAAAAGTCATTGGTGACATTTACCAATTACTTGGCTAGGACGCACGTTTATATAGTGATTTGTACGATCGTTGGACAAAACGGATTTTCTTTTTGCATCTCGGACAGATAATTTTAAGACTTGATGTAAGTTGCCTCATGGCAACTCGTTTAGTCTTCACGAGCGACGTTGTTTTAGTGAACGTGGGAAATTTCGATAGGACAGAAAGATTGGCCGGAAAAAAAAATGTATCATGCTCACGAGAATAATGTAATCTTGTTGATTATTTGTTGTGTAAATGCATTTCTGAATCGGTGACCACGGGTGCACTCAAAGTAAGCTGCACGTGACGCGGATGCGTTTCTGTCCAATCGCAGACGGTTATGATCGGGAAGGCGACTAACGCCACCATCGCACGGCTTCTCCCCGTTGAAGAGGAACAATTTTTAATAGATCTCCCCGTTGAAAATGAACAATTTCGTTAAGACTTTGGTGATGATCGAGGCTCGACTTGCACAGATACATTTTGGTTTTGGATCCTCCTACTTTTTTTTTATGGATTCCCAGTGACGGTTTCTCTCAAACTGAGCGACGGTGGCAACTGGTTCTGAGCCGCTGTAGGCGGTTGAAGCGCTCGTTACAGATCGTCGTTAAGTATAAATGGGCATTCCTTTTACTGTGGGGCGCAGAGGCCGAATTCGTTTGCAGGGTTTATTCGTGACGCGCCGAGGTGAAAGGATTTCGTGAAATGTTACGTAGGATTTAGCGCAAATCTATTTCTCTCGCAGCACAGTAGCGTCTCGAACCAGGACTTTAGAAGCTCTTCCTCACTCACGGCCGAACCCATTTCTTTTCGACCCTCCCTCGATCCGAGGCCTGGCCGTGAGACTGGGTCATCCGGCGGCCACAGGGCTCTGTCTTCGGCAGATCTTGTGAGATGTCCCACGCTGAGGGATGTCGTACGCTGAGAGATGTCGTACGCTGAGAGATGTCCCACCCTGAGAGATGTCCCACACTGAGAGCCTTGTCCAAGCAGCGGCATCAACACCCTTCCCTGTCGGCCTCGGCCTAGAGCCGGTTAGGATTTTCATCCGTACGTTTGGTGGGTAACCACACCGACACACACACAATAACGACAAAGATCCCTCACCTATATGCTGTTAGCGAGAACCTATGAAGGCCGGCACGGCACATGAGGGGGGTGGGTGGCCAGCATCAGACCCGGCCGCCTTTGTCTCCCCAGTGGTGATCTTCACATCGCGCCAGGCACTCATTTGAGGATGATTCGACCTAGGGGAGGCCCAGGCCCGGTTCAGATAATTGTCACCGGTGTTGGTGGCCGTGAGCGTGAATGGAACTCTGGTCGCCGGGTTCCTAGCGCAGCCGCCCTAACCGTTGCACCACCGCTCCACACACACGCGCACGTGCGCCTCGACGCACACACACACACACACCTTGGTCGCTTCTATCACTGCAAAGGGCCCTTCCTTGCGGCGACGGAGGTGACTCGAGCGTGCGCGCAAAATGATCCAGCGAAAATATCCCCCCACCCGCCCCCCCCCCCCCCCCCCGGTCTCTAGCACCCGACCAGTGCGTCTGTGGATGCTCCCATCGACGGCGGTTAAAAATGTCGTTTGGCGGAGCCGTTCGCAAGTGGCCGCTGGCTTGGTGAAATGGCGGTGCCGGGATGAATGAAGTCGTGGGGCGGCAAAGCGGGGGCCCGCTCGCCGCCGCGGGGCGCCTCCTCGGTCCCTGCTCGCCAATTCGAAACCGTCCAGACTGAAGTCGCCCCGCGGTGTGTGCCTGCTTGCGTGTGTGTTTGTGTGACCTCACCCCCCCCCCCCCCCCCCTTTGCGTCGACGACTACTACTACTACACACAACAACAACAACTGCCGTTGGCCACTTAAAGTGGCGGTGACATCACCACGGCGCTTGTGCCTGGCCACATACACACCACACACACACACACCAAACAGTCTCACCGAATAACAAAAGCAACATTATATTTTAAAACTGATGTCATATTTTTGTACAAAAGAAAAATGTAGTTGCTGATTAAATGTTGCGCAGAACAATGCCTGCGAAATAATTATTTCGTTAAGCGTTATCGTTTTTTTCCCCGTTTTAAACAAATCCTTACGCATGCGTCTTGGTGGTGGTTGTCGTTTGTTGCTGCTGCTGCTGCTGCGTGTATGGTTGGGGGTCGCGGTGCGTGTGCCCGAGGAGGCCATTGAACGATCGGCCCCGGCGTTAGATTCCAGCGAAGAGAAACACGGCGCCCAGCTAGCCACGGCGAGCCCGTGGCGAGCCCGCGCCAACTCCGATGCGACACTGCCTGTGCCGCTCTGGAGAATGCAAGAAACACAGCAAATGCACTGGCGACACGCCTACTCTGTCACACATCTGTCCCTGCACGTGAAAAAAAACGCAAGTGTTTAATTTTATTTTTTTTCCCCGCACACAGTCCATCAGCCAAGACAGCCTTCCTTTCTGGGAGTGCGTTTCGTTCGGCAGCATCGGTTGAACGCGAGAAAAAAATCCGCGCCGGTTTAATGACACTTATTAAACTGTTACAACCTTTTATTTTACAAGGTAAAGGCCCATTGAGCTATATCGATCTTTTTTTCAGAAGCGACCTGGCCACAAATGATAGCTCAACGAAGTGGCTTATCACGTGGAGATTCACAGCAGTAGCCAAATACACTCAACGCATGCTTCTGAATGTGGAGGTAAAAACCAGAGCGCCTGGAGAAAAAAAAATCCACACGACCACGTGGAGAGAGATACCGAAAACTCAAAATATACAGTTATCGCTGTCCGGATCAAACCCCCGACCTCCTGTATACCTGGCGAGGTAGTCAACATCTCTCCACCGTGGCGCCCCATTCATTATTTATTCTGCGTCTCGTCGGGAAGAGTGAGTGAGGCTCGCTTGAACAAAGTGCACGCCGACTGTCGATATCGGGCTGCGGAAATCCTCTCGTGACGAATCGAGCGTGCTTCCAGACGGCAGTCCCGATGAGGCGATTGGTTCCCATGCAGCAGGTTCACTCACTCGGCAATGTAAACGTTTGTCATGTTGAACTTCTTTCGCCACCGTATGCGAGGGTTGTGTAAAAATGAACTCGTTTACCAACGTGGGGGAGGGAGGCGTGGTGCGGTGGTGATGAGGATGTTGAAGATGATGTTCATCGTGCCGCCCGTTGCGATCGCTCCCAGAGTGGCGAGCCATCACCCCCCTCCTCCCCTCCCCCCCCCCTTTTCCGGCGTGCGTCCAGACGTCCACCGATGGAGCATGGATTCCTGTACTGCGTCGTCTATTTATAAACTGGGGTGGGGTTTTTTTTGTCCGCTAAAATAAATATTAACGTTTACAGGTTCGTCGATAACACGGGGTTAAAGAGGGAACGGGTACAGGCACTCCTCTACTTACGAGCATTCGACTTAGGAACTTTCAGAGATACGAACAAACCTGGTCCGTATGTCCAGTTTGCCTGTTCGGACCGAGAGCCGTAAGTTCAACCGCAGTGCAATAGACGGCGGTGGTGGCATCTGCATCTGCGGAATGTGAGGAACCAGCGGCATCTACATCTACGGAATGTGAGGAACCAGCGGCATCTACGTCTGCGGAATGTGAGGAACCACCGGCATCTACGTCTGCAGGAGATTATGCAACTTTTAAAGACATTCCCCGTTTTTCGTGCACATGCCGTGCAACATGTTTGGAATCGACAGGAGTAAAGTTGTACCTACGAACAAATCCACTTGCGAATAAACCTCTGGAACCTAACTCGTTCGTAAGTAGAGGAGTCCCTGTATATAATGGGCAACGTTTCAGGCAATGGCCCTTCGAAGCACAGAGGTCACCTGCTTACCTCTTGGCCTATCTGTGCTATGAAGGGCCATTGCCTGAAACGTCTATTATATATTTTTAAGGTCGCAGTATTATCGATGGACGTGTGCAGTTTTGTTGTTGTTTGTGCTTGAGCTCCACTTGCCCTTCATCGTCACCAAATAATATTTATTTGTGTTTATGAGCACGGGTAATCCGCATGCCCGAGAATCTGCCCACGGATAAACGAGGGTTAGGCGCTTTGTACGGCCGCTAGATGCAGACCATTCTCGTGCTACATCGGTGATATTTGTGGATCCTCTTGACGATGTCCGTGGTCTCAAACGGCATCTAAGCCTCTTGCCATAACTTGTGGTGCAATTTTAGAACGAGACGGCACAATATACCGTTCATCTCGCACCAGCAGTTAGTTGTACCTGGCTTCCTTAGACCACCAGCTCGAGTCGACTCGAGTTGAAGGGCAGCTCGACTTGACTGGAGTTGAAGAGCAGCTCGACTTGACTGGAGTTGAAGGGCAGCTCGACTTGACTCGAGTTGAAGGGCAGCTCAACTTGACGAGTTGAAGGGCAGCTCGACTTGACTCGAGTTGAAGGGCATCTCAAGTCGGCTCGAGTTGAAGGGCAGCTCGACTTGACTCGAGTTGAAGGGCAGCTCAAGTCGACTCGAGTTGAAGGGCAGCTTGACTTGACTCGAGTTGAAGGGCAGCTCGACTTGACTCGAGTTGAAGGGCAGCTCAAGTCGGCTCAAGTTGAAGGGCAGCTCGACTTGACTCGAGTTGAAGGGCAGCTCGACTTGACGAGTTGAAGGGCAGCTCGACTAGACGAGTTGAAGGGCATCTCAACTTGAGTTGAAGGGCAGCTCGACTTGACTCGAGTTGAAGGGCAGCTCGACTTGAGTTGAAGGGCAGCTCAACTTGACTCCAGTTGAAGGGCAGCTCGACTTGACTCGAGTTGAAGGGCAGCTCGAGTCGGCTCAAGTTAAAGGGCAGCTCAACTTGACTCGAGTTGAAGGGCAGCTCGACTTGACTCGAGTTGAAGGGCAGATCGAGTCGGCTCAAGTTAAAGGGCAGCTCAACTTGACTCGAGTTGAAGGGCAGCTCGACTTGACTCGAGTTGAAGGGCAGCTCAAGTCGGCTCAAGTTGAAGGGCAGCTCGACTTGACTGGAGTTGAAGGGCAGCTCGAGTCGGCTCGAGCTGAAGGGCAGCTCGACTAGACGAGTTGAAGGGCAGCTCGACTAGACGAGTTGAATGGCAGCTCGACTAGAGTTGAAGGGCAGCTCAAGTTGACTCGAGTTGAAGGGCAGCTCGACTTGACTCGAGTTGAAGGGCAGCTCGACTAGACTGGGGTTGAAGGGCAGCTCGACTAGACGAGTTGAAGGGCAACTCGACTAGACTCGAGTTGAAGGGCAGCTCGACTAGACTGGGGTTGAAGGGCAGCTCGACTAGACGAGTTGAAGGGCAGCTCGAGTTGACTCGAGTTGAAGGGCAGCTCGACTTGACTCGAGTTGAAGGGCAGCTCGAGTTGACTCCAGTTGAAGGGCAGCTCAACTTGACTCGAGTTGAAGGGCAGCTCGACTTGACTCCAGTTGAAGGGCAGCTCGACTAGACGAGTTGAAGGGCAGCTCGACTTGACTCGAGTTGAAGGGCAGCTCGAGTTGACTCGAGTTGAAGGGCAGCTCAACTTGACTCGAGTTGAAGGGCAGCTCGACTTGACTCGAGTTGAAGGGCAGCTCGACTAGACGAGTTGAAGGGCAGCTCGACTTGACTCGAGTTGAAGGGCAGCTCGACTAGACGAGTTGAAGGGCAGCTCGACTTGACTCGAGTTGAAGGGCAGCTCAACTTGACTCGAGTTGAAGGGCAGCTCGAGTTGACTCGAGTTGAAGGGCAGCTCGACTTGACTCGAGTTGAAGGGCAGCTCGAGGTGAAGGACAGCTCGAGTTGACTCGAATTGAAGGACAGCTCTAGTTGATTCGAGTTCAAGGGCAGCTTGAAGGGCAGCTCGAGTCGACTCGAGTTGGAAGGGCAGCTCGAGTTGGTTCTATAATTAAAGGCGGCGCTTCCCTTTTCCCGTGAGCGGGGCAGCTCTTTGCCAGATTTGTGTCTGACTTGGACGTTCCCAGCGATGATCCGTACTGGTTGTTGTGTGAGGCCACGTGGTAGCTTTTGTTTTGCACTCAAGAAACCCTTCCAGCCACCGGACACGATTGAGACGTTCCCAAAGGTGTTAGTTACACCTGCGCAATACATCACGAGATCTTCGCGAGTAGATTAAGAATTCT